GGGCAATACATGGGGGGAGGAGGGTTGTTACTTTGTGAGGGTGAAAAGGATAACTATTGCATTGTTCTGTACACCTGAAACTAACAATAAAAAATAAAAAAAGTAATGATCATATATTGGGGATGCTTAGGTGTGATTCCTCAACATCTATTGGCAACTTTTAAGATTTTAGTTTTGCTAAGTTCACTTATTTCTAGCTTCTTGTCACAAGAATGGTCAAAGACAGATTTAGATTTGTTAATAGATCTTATATTTTATCACAAAAGCCTATGCTTTTAAAGGTTACAAAATATATTCCTGGATTTACCAGTAAAAATGCTAATTGCTTGCTTTTGGTTGTCAGTAAAAATTAATCTTTTAGAGGTTATGGATTCTAATTAGTATAAAAGAAAACAATGTGTATTTTCAAGGAAGGTATAATGTATGGAAATACACTTTTAAAGGAACTAACAGGTAGTTTGTTCTAAAGAGGGTTATTTCTGAATGAGAAAGAAGAGAGAAACTAAAAGGGACTGAGAAAGTTGTAGAAGGTTTGTAAAAAGTATTGAGAGAGTTTTATGTCTAGTTTAGCTAAATGCAAACAATCAAGCACATTTAAATATCAAAAGTAAGCTACTCAAGTGAGTGCTCTCTCTCTGCTAAGCAGGACAAATTTCTTAGACTATTGGTCTATGTTTCATATTATCTCCCAATCAGGTTCCTGGTTACCGGAAAAAAGCTAAAATCTACACAATAGTAACCACTATGTTTTACTAATGGTTATGTAAACTATATTTCAGGATTGCTCTAGTTCACGTGTCCTCCTCAGTGTCAGAGTATAGGCCAATGAAAAGGAAGCTTATTCTCCTTAACCTGACAGCATCATAATGGTTCTGACCCACTGCTTAGATCATAAAGAAGGCCAGGAATTTGTTTAAATGTCTTTAACAACCAAAACAGAAAAACAAGGAATAAGGGAACAGTGAGACCCGAGAGTGAAACCAAAGACAAAGCCAGACTTTTGGCCACAGTTATAAACAAGCCAGGGCTAAAGCCACCTCAGGGCACCCCAAAGGTCCCAGGAGAGAAATGCCAAACAAAGGAGCCTGCTTTTTGGATGTGGAAGCCCAGACCACTGGGATGAGTGTCCTAATCCTCCAAAGCAGCCATGCCCCCTGTGCACAGTACAGGGCACTGGAGGAGAGATTGCGCCCTGCTCTGAAGGGAGCAGAGAACAACCCCCTCCCCACCAAGAGCTGCGATCACTGTTGGGCCTAACACTCCCAGTGGCTCCCAGGCTGTTCTCATCACAGGGGTGAAACTGCGGGTGACCCTAACATAACAGGCAAGCTTGTTAATTTATAGAAACCATTTTTTTCTGTCTCAACTGCTGACTCTGGACCTTTTTTTCCTCTGAAAACTGCTGGGTTGTAAAGATAAAGCAAGCCCCAGCTTTGGGCTCGTTTTACTCAGCCTGTTCCTTACCATTGGTCTATATCCCTTAGGGAAAAAAATAAACAAATCAAACTTAAGAGGACTCTAGAAAAGTTTTATCAAAACTATTGTCCATTGCTTTAGATTCTAACCTCAATTCTGCTATCTCCTATGTTGTTCGCTTGGAAAAGTTTCAACAGTCACTTAAGAAATATAGTGGGCCCAGTTTTAAAGGGAAAAGTCTCTAATAGACCAGTTAGTTCCTATATAGAAGGAACCCTTTACAATTTTTCTAAACACCCCAATGGTTTTGGGACTTCAGAGTCAGTAGCTGGATCCACTTCCCTCGAATTAAACTTATTTCATTTAAGTCTCCACAGGACTCTCCCAAAAGGAAGGCTGTCACTCCTACTTCTGGAGGGTAAACAAATGTCACCCGAGGTTTAGATCAAGTCATCTTTTCTCCAAACCCCATTGATATACTGATTTTAATTTTTTTTTTTTTTTTTGCCAAAGACCAGTCTTGACAAACTTTTGCAAAGTACTCTCTAGTACATACTTGAGGCTTCATATATTATTCACCTTATAAGAAAAGGGCACTAGGCAGGTGTGCTGGCACCTAGAAAGGGGCCACACCGGAGGCAGGACAACATGAATACTGACGAGGAGGCTGCTGTATCCTTTCAGGTAAAGATGACAGTGGGATGAACTAAAGGAGGGGCAGTGGGACTAAAGACAGGCATGGATTTGGACAAGAGCATGTACACAGAACTGATGCACCCTGGTGAGAGAGGAGGTGGGGGAAGGACCCACGGAGGCCTTTCTGGTTTCTGGCTTGGGCGCCTGGGTGGCAGTGGCCCATTTACTAAGATAGGGAGTGAGGGAAGGAGGAGGACATGAGCAGCTCTGCTTTTAAAATCCTGAACTTCAGGGCCCTGTAGGACATCTAAGTGAAGATACCCAATCGGCCGCTCACCAGGCACAGGGATGATGATGATGATGATGATGACGACGATAGTTAACACTGACCGAGTGTCCAGTATGTCAGGCAATGTTATAAGCATTTGACATGTATTCACTAATTTCATCCTTCCAACAACCCAACCAGGTAGGTCCTACTATCATTCCTGTTTTATATAAGATGAAATTAAAGCATGGGGAGGTCACCTAGCTTGCCTGAGATAAGTTGGTAATTGGTGGAGCTGGGGTTAGAACCTGTGTTACCTGAATCCTGAAACCATGCCTTTACACATCAGGCTTCACCACTTCCCCAGACACATATCTGGGACTTGCATGTGTTTTGGAGGGTTGTTGAAGACACAGGCACGCAAAAAGGTACAGAATGAAAGGACAGGGCAGAGGATTTGGGAGAACTAACACTTGGGGATGAGCAGAGAAAGAGGGGGCAGCAAAGGAACTGAGAACGAGTAGCTAGAAGCAGAAAAACTAGGCAACGTAAGTTTCAAAGAAGCCACTACAAAGTGTTTCGAGGAAGAAGCGATCACCTGTGTTTAAGGCTACAGAAAAGAGGTAAGAGAAAGGCAGGAAAGTGTCTGCTGAATTTAGGAACAGAAATTACTAATGATTTTGGTCGGAGCAGCTTTAGCTGTCATGGTGGGATTCGAACCAGACTGGCGTAATGCAAAGTACATGAAAAATGAAGAAGAGCACAGAATATAGATTACACTGAAAACTTTTGGTTGTAAAGGGGAAGAGAGATAAGTGGAGACTTCGGCGTGTTTAAAAGTTGATGAGTTAGATCCCAAAAATGGGAGAGGAGAAAGAGGGTAATTACTGAAGAGGGGGTCCCTGAGGAAATGGAAATACACCATGTAGTTACGAGCGTTGGCTCTGGAATTAAAATGCCTAAATTCAAATGCAGCCTTTGCAGCTTAGTAGCCGCTGACCTTGGAAAAGTTATTTAATCTCTCTAAGCATCCAATCCTTGTCTGTACAGTCAGAATACTACTACCATCTACTTAATGGATGTATTATAAGGTTTAAACAAGATAATGCACGGGAAGAACTGACACACAGTAGGTGCTTAGAAAGCATTAGCTATTATTATTACTATGGGATCCAGAGCACAGGTAGAGGGGCTGCCCTTCATTAAGAAGAAACACGGGCTAGCCGAGTGGCTCAGTTGATGAAGAGCTCGCTCAAGAGTGTGAGCTCTGAGCAACAGGGTCGCCGGTTCGATTCCCGGCCTGAGCTGAACTGCCGCTGAGCTGCCAACAGGTGGCAGGATGGCTCAGCTGAAGAAGAGAAAAAGAAAAAGAGGAAACACACTTTTGTGACAGAGAAAAAGGAGGCAATGATAAGAATACATGGCAGGTAACTCGGGGGTGGGAGGGAGAAGACGGATCTCCTTACTGATGCTTTCCAAGTTCTCGGCGAAGAACAAGGCGAGTCGGCTGAGCAGCCCCAATTCACATGGCTCGATTTCTCCGGCAACCCAGACACGAGAAGCGAAGAAGAAAGCAGAACGAGGGACTATCTCAAGATCAGGTGTGCAAGTGTAATGAAAGCCTTAGAGGTCATAGGTTATTTTAGGCATTGACAAGAGTGGCTGAAGTCATGGACCATGGGTTTTAGGCTGAACAGGGAAGACAATAAAGATGAAAAAGAGATGACATTTTCAGAAACAGTGAAAGGACCGCAGGACTGGATGTCTTGATGCAGTTGAGATGTAGGATTAGCTGTTAGGGATGTAACTGTGAGCAAGAAAGCTATATTCTAGCCCTCTTGGATCCTGCAGGCAATGGTAGAAGATAAAAAATTAAACAACCGATCTGAATTGAAAACATAATGATGACAGGATCTTATGGGGGTATAATGCAGGAGTACCTACTAGCTGCATGATTGGTCATGGAAGGGTTTCTATAGAAAGTGTTGAGCTGAGATCGGAAGGCCAAACAGGAGTCAGCCGTGAGCAGAGGGGTAAAGTATATTCTATCCCAACGTGAGCGAATCCCGGATGGAAAAGCAGAGAGAGACCAGGACTGAGGGGCTAATGTAATGGCTTCTGAGGGCTGTGTACAAAGACACTGGAGTTACACGAGACCAAAACATTAGGACCACGACTTGAGAGAGCTAACACAGGAAGGGTGAACAAAGAAATTAGCAGCCACAACAGTCATACCGAGAATTAGATGTCGAAATCTATCTTAACATGCTGGCAGGTGGTGCATTTACATTTAAGATTTTAGCTAAAAAAAAAGTACTGTACCTTTGAACGAAATGTTGGATGAACAAAATAAACAGCCTTCAAATTCCTCTTGTACCTGATTCAAAATTTTAAAAAAGGGTCAGTATAAGTCATGCATAAAACCAGTCACCATTATGGACAATTAACTCTGAATATTCACAGAGAAAAAAATATTTTCTTAAACAGCTCTAGCCTATTGAATTTTAGGTGAAATGTCAAAAACAATTCAGAGAACATTTCATTATTTAAAGTTATCTGTTTTGTAGAAGCTATTTTCTTGGCTGTAATAGAGCCACCTCTAGGTAGGACAAAGAAAAATTGCATTTTATAAACATTTATTGTGTGCCCTTTTTGTTACGTGGTGCTAGAGTCTCGGGGATCAGATTATGAATTAAAAAACAGTAAAACCACATAAATTATTAGCAAAAATTAGAAATTAAAAGTCTCAATGGTCATACTACAACAATAAATATTGGGAGTTGACTATGTCCTAGAAATTGTGCAAAGGCTTTATACTTAATTCTCATAACAATTCTATGAACTGAGTACTAATAATTGTCTCTATTCTAATCTTCCCAAAGCCACCCACACATCAAGTGACAGGGCCAGAAACTGAACCCAGGCAGTATGGCTCCAAAACCATGCTCTTATCTACTAGTCTATCTAGCCTCTCCAGGCGTGCGTGAAATTCTTTCAACAGCCTATTAATCATTGGGTCACATAAGGTGAATTAAAGGGGACTTCAGAGAAAGAGTACAAACTCTTCATTTCACAGCTGAGGCCTGTTCAACGTAGAGCTGGTTAGTACGAAAGGCAGAATTATAGTGGAGTGGAGCTGCCTTCCACAACCCACATTTAGAGCAAGCTAAAAAGGTGTATTAGGCAATGAAAGCTTTAACATTCCTAATTAGGGTGAGATTTAATGGGAGGAGTAAGATACTTGGAAATTGAAGGTCATTTGCCTTCTTTGTACACTAACTATAATAGTTTTTCAATGCAATTGATAAAAACATACTGATGCTCCCAATAACAAAGCTACTACCAGCAGGGCAAAGTGCTATTTTTATGTAGGAAATCTATTAATGAGAAAAAAAAATTAAAGCAGAGCATTTTATCTCTGCTGCGGTGGGGTATCTATACATTCTGGTTAAAATTTCCACGATCACTTCCAAGGAAATGTGGTTTAATAAAAATAACTTTCTGGTTCCACATCAGTAGCCCAGGTTCAAGTCCAAATTCTGCATCTGCTGCTGTGAGACCTTGGGTGCATACTTTGCCTGTCAGAATGTCCATATTTTCCCATCTTTCAAATGTAGATGATATCTATATTTATCGATCTACAGGTAGGACAAAGTAAATTCATATTTAACAAACAAATCTATTATGTGCTATTTTTTTCTATGGCACTAGAATTTTTGGGATCAGGTTATGAATTAACAAACTCATGGGTCACTGGATCAAATGAAATGATACTTATAAATGTATTTTGATAAGTATAACACATTTTATAAATAGAAGGTAGTATTTCTGTTACTTTATAAACAAAGATCGGTAATGACCCCAAGCCTTTTTCAAGGTGTTTAAAAGCAGGCAGAAGTTTACACCTGAGTTTACTTAAATGTGATAAGCTGGAGTTAAGGAGGGCCTCCTAGTATTAAACTATCTGATCTATGAATGATAAAAATCTGTTACATGAAATATGCTTTCACAGAATACACAGCAAGGCTTGCTACTGGTTCATATCAGGACCGATAGCAGCTGTTTCCCCTCAAAATGTGCACAAGTAACTAACTTGACATCGACGACATCGTAGAGCTTCTTCAGGAAGTCTGAGTCCAGATGATTGTACTCGCTGGTCAGGGTGTGAAAATATACTAGTACATATTCCTTCACAGCAATGTGATCCATCACATGGATAAAATATAAGAGCGCCTAGAAAAAAGAGGAGTAAAGATCACTTTGCACAGAGGCCAAGAAAGAGGAAAAACCCAAAAGATGACTAATCTATGCCCCAGGCACTGCAGGTGACCAATTCCTGGTAGAAAGGTCTTCAGGAGAGTCGATCAGGCTGGCGTTTGGTAATTCTCATCCATGGGACAGTGCCATCCTGTGTGGTCTTATTCTGAGCGATGGAGGAGAACAATTGATCTCTCTCCTCTCAAATAACTTCGTATACTCGAAAGAGTTCTTTGGTCAACTACCGGGTTTTCCCTCTCTAGGATAATGATATCAAAATCAGCAGAAACTGACTTTCTAGACCAGCGGTTCTCAACCTTCCTAATGCCGCGACCCCTTAATACAGTTCCTCATGTTGTGGTGACCCCCCAACCATAAAATTCTTTTCGTTGCTACTCTATAACTGTAATTTTGCTACTGTTATGAATCGTAATGTAAATATCTTTGTTTTCCGATGGTCTTAGGCGACCCCTGTGAAAGGGTCGTTTGACCCCCAAAGGGGTCGCGACCCACAGGTTGAGAACCGCTGTTCTAGACTGTTAATCACTCTTTTAGTTTCTGCTTGAATTCAATGCAAGTCTTTGCAGTCTCTACTGAGATACAGACTCGTGGTTCATGTAACCACGAAATGCCATAAAAGGACATTCTAAGTGATGCCTCAGTGTCTCGCTCTGAGGGCTGATTTTCTCAGCCTCTTTAATGTGGGTCTGAATGAGAAAAACGAGAACAGCTTTAGCTAGTAGGTGGCAATGGGCTGGGCAGCATTTCTAAGCCCTGAAAAGACTCAAATTTAATGTGACCCAGATCAGTTAGAGATATGTCCCATTCTAAGAAGAATGAAATTTAAGAAAAACAAACGCAAAGCAGATATACAATATGGGCAGGCCCAGCATGACCCAGTGGTGTAGCTATAAACTGTGAGAAAAGGGGAGCTAAGAGGTAACAACCGAAGGATTGCTATCAAACAGGCCATGTCCCCATCCTGTGCAGGAGGCCTTGGCGGTCCAGACCTGGATTAACAAGGATTAGGGTCCAACTGCTATGCGAGCAGACAGAGGAGGGCACGAAGGAAACAGCAGCTTTCCAGCTGTCACCTGGTTTGACCTCACAATATAGCTCATTGTTTTGTATGAAATGATACATCATGAATGGCCAGAACACTGCACATGCACAGCTGAGTCAGATGCAGGGCTTTCTGCTTTTTGGCATCAATCCTATTACTAATGGTGAGAATGAATGTCATGCTGATTAATACAAATGACCACAAGTGGAAACTTATTAATCACATAATTTACATTACATTATAAATGCAATATAGATATATAACTCAGTTGAGTTTTTCCTTTCGTGTATTTTTACTATTTTATATTTTATTATAAATTTTGCTCTTACCTGAGTGCTTCTGGTTCTTTCTGTCCACTGTCTACCCCTCCTTAGGGCCATTAAGATACCCATTTTTAGCTTCAAATTCCCATCTTTAACTTAATTTTTTTTCATTGTAAAGAAGTATAGCCACATGACAGAAAAAAAGGTAGAAAGCAAATTCTCCTCCAATCCATGAAATCCATTTTGAGATATTTATTTCCAATTTTTACCTTTAATGTTTGAAAGTCAGTGTATATATAATTTTCTATAATTTTTTTCCTGTTGATATTCTATTATAAACATTTCTCTATAGTAGTTGCCTCTATAACTGTAATTTTTTTCAAAGGATATAATTTTAAGCCTATTTAATGTAAGTATTAAAGTATTAAGCAATTTAATGAAATTTATTTTTATTAGTTTCAGGTGCACAAAGCAATGTAATAGTTAGATATTTACACCCCTTACAAAGTGATAACCCCCCTCCCCAAATCTACTACCCCTGACATTGTACATAGCTATTACAATTCCACTCATTCTATTCCCTATGCTGTACTCCCCATCCCGTGACCATATACATATATATGTGTGTGTGTATATATATGTATATATATGTGTGTGTGTGTGTGTGTGTGTGTGTGTGTGTATATATATATATATATTTAATTATAGTAGATATTCAATATTATTCTACTTCAGCTTCAGGTGTACAGCGTAGTGGTCAGGCATTTACACCGTCCATGACGTGACCCCCTGGTAAGTCCAGTGCCCATCTGGCACCTTACACGATCTTTATAACGTTATTGATTATATTCCCTATACTGTATTTCATATCTCCATGGCTATATTGTGACTACTGATTTGTACTTTCTAATCCTTTCACCTTCTCCCCAATCTCTACACTCTGTAACTGTAATTTTTACGAGTCACAAAGCATTCCATCTGTGGATGAACCATAATCACCTGTTAGGGATTTAGGTTATGATTTTGTAAGTAACATGCCAGGTTTGGTGCTTTCATCCTTTTTTTTTTTTACCCAAACACCAGTGACCAGGAGTCTTAAGGGCTTAGCCAGAAGCAATTACCTGCTTTTGCATGACTGTATTTTATCTTAAAATTGTGTGGAAATTTTACGTTTTTAAGTACATAATTTTTTTTACTATGGCTAAGAATTATGTTAAAGTGATTCTCCTCCTTTGCAGTCAGTTTCTAACAAAACTGATGTTCTAAGATCTGTATATTTATCCTGTGAATTCAATCGTTCCCTAAGTATTCCAATTTGGGCAATTTCAGGGCCTGTGGCTGCTTCCACACTTCGGATTATTTCCTTAGTGCAACTTCTCAGAAATGGAATTACTGGGTCAATGGCTGTGACCACTTTTACAGTTTCAATTCATCTTTGATCATAATGATTTAAAAGTTCTGGCTAATTTTGAAGGTGAAAAGAGATATCTCATTTTAATTCACTTTTTTTGGACTGCTAATCAGACTGACCATCTTTGTTTTTATTTACCAGTGATTGCATTCCTTCTTTTATGAACCATCTACTGTATTTCTGTCCTTTGCCTCCCCATGAAGGGATTATGGAATTAAGACATCTTGGGCAAACTGCATCTCTGGTTTCTTCTCTTCAGATGGAAACGCAATTTTGTTTTTTCAAGAAAGGCAGACTTTGACTGTGAGTACAATTACAATAAAGAATGATTCCAATCAAAAATTTGCCAGTTATGTCATATCCAAAACAAAGCAGCTGCGTCTTGGAGCTCACATCATGGCATTCCAGCATTTCTGCTTCTGCTACAGAGCGAAACCGAACCCCCAACTTACTGAAATGGTCCGTGCAGACTTGCACAACCAGGGCTGTTACTCTGCCTGAGACACACAGTTCTGCCTCATCTCATATTCTAAGCCGATTCCAAATTCATAGCCTCCTTATTTTTAAACCAACATTATTTGGAAACCAGAGCCTTTTTCGGGCTTACCTTGTCCATATCTATTAATGTTACAGGAATGTTTCTTCCAACCACCACCATCACTGTGCGACCGCAGTTATCGACACCTACAAACAGGAACTGTAATTAGTACCAGAAACTCTATTCCCAAAGTATTGCCTGTCTTGGGAGCTGACCTTATAAAAATATTCTACACAAATCTAAGACTGAAAACCAGGAGCATAAGTTTTTCAAATTCCATCGTTGGATTTCTCTTACTATGTGGACAATAGCACCTTTTTAGTTATTTTTTAGCTTCATGAGGTTTCAATGATGGCCCTTACTTTTAAGATAAGGCCTCTTAAGAGATTTTAAATCAGGGACAGTCAAAGGTGAGGTTTCAGGGCAAAGATCTTTTTAGAAATAGCTTTCTGTTTAGGCTCAAAACAACTTTTAACAACATCAGTGATCCAGGAAAAACTCAATGGAACTCAAATCTGAAAATTAACAAGAACTGCCTGAAAAAGAAATATAACAGAGAAAAAGCAGGAATCTGAGAACTTTCACTGCTTCCATTATACATTTATGTAAGGTTTGAATTTTGTATAGCAAGTATAGGGTACTTTCAAAAGCAGGAAAAAAATTGGGAAGATAACAAAAAGGGCAATAAAAAGAAATGAAGTTGGCCAGTGTAGTGCTACAAGTTGAAAATTTTATAAGCTGAGATGTTATTTTTAAGATTTTGATGATGAACAACAACTATCTTCATCGGTACAACACTTTATTCACAGATAAAACTGACAAAATCAGAGCAAAATGAAATCTCTAATAGCATCCTAGGTAGGGTCCTTCATTAGTGAAAGAGTAAGTTGCCATATCCATAAGCTCACCTGTTTGGTATAAGGCTTTGAGAGAAGCGATATCAGATAGATCCTCAGATCTTGCTTGACATAACCAGCGATTGTAACTACAGAAACAAAAGATGTAATTAGTATAATAAATCCTTGCAAATTAAATTTTCAAATGGGACCTTTTTTTTAAATACTATATATATATAGTATTTTAATAATAAAATACATACATACATATATATATAATTTTAACTTTATTGGGGAACAGTATGTTTTTCCAGGACCCATCAGCTTCAAGTCAAATCGCTGTTTTCAATCTAATTGTGGAGGGCACAGCTCAGCTCCAAGTCCAGTCACCATTTTCAATCTAGTTGCGGGGGAGCAGCCCACTATCCCATGCGGGAGTCGAACCAGCAACCTTGTGGTTCAGAGCACGCGCTCTAACCAACCGAGCCACCTGGCAGCCCCAGATGGGACCTGTTTTTATCTTTCTGTTCCTAAAGAATGATGCTTTATTATGAGGAAGGAGTTAAAGAGACCATCATAATATGTAGAATCTCTGCTATGTGTTATTGATAAATACAAATGAGTTATTGAGAAAGGAAGGTGTTCATACTTAATTGAAAAAATCTTTTATCAAATGAAGACTACTCATATAAATAGCTCAGATACCAAGTTCTCAAAGTAATTTATTTTTAAATACTATTTTTTTCCTTTACTAAAAAAAATTTTAAAAAATGCAGAGGAAGTCTAAAGCAATAGCAGTTCTCCAAAACAGGTGTTCACTCATTCAACAAAGTATTGAGCACTCACTATATGATAAGTATTGAGGGGCCTACAGTGAATAGACACGGTCAGTGCCCTTGAGGAGTATACTTTGCAGAGGGAAAACAGGTAAGTACATGTATGTGGGGCCACAAAGGAACTCGGTAATTTTATCTGGATCGTCGAGGCTTCTTTAATGATGGGTAATCAAGCTAGTTGTAGTGATACCCGCTATACGAGATTATAGGGACTGCAGATTGGCTGTGGCTAAGAGGATATTAAAGCCAGAAGAGACATTAAAGATCTCAAAGAGGGGAAATGGCCTGCAAAAGGGCTGAGTGATCTTAGAGTTACCAGACAATCAACGGTTGAAATTGAAGTTGCACTCGTGTCCAGGTTTCTGGAAAGGTCAGTACTTTTCCTACTATTTCCTACTGCTTTCTTAAAACTCAAAGTGCCACATATTTGATTCCTCAGCTGCAAATGGTGTGTATGTAGGGCACCCTTTGGCTGTAAACTATAATCATGTAACGGGATATTTAACGGGAAGTCTATTACACATGGATTGTAATTGACAAGTGATATTCCCGTTGGTTTCACAGAATTGTTACTGCTTGCGAAAAACACACTTGGTATTACACAGTTCTATAGTTTATGCCTTTTTAAATTTGGAAACTTGCCCATCTATACCAACTGAAAAGTTAAAGACAATAATAGCTGTTAATTTGGGTTTAAGATCTAATTTGCAAGTCAAGAAAAGACCTACGTGTATCATAGTTCTCCCTACATACATATACTATTCCATACTTTCACACAGAGTCATTTCCTAGGTTATTTACCCTAAATCCCCAATTGTACTGTTTTTTGATTAAGTCATCTCTACAAGACTAAACAGAATAATATATTTTAAAGGTTTTATAAGCATAAGTACTAGAACAAAACATGTAACAGGAATCCGGTAAATACCTGTGAATTTCTACACTCTAAACATTCATGAACCCATTTTTCAAAGGTTTATTGCATAAATGCAATACCTATAATCATAGTAGGGACTCCCATCTTTGTTCAATGAAATAACAGACATGAATATTATTCGAGTCATTTTTGGGGTCTGAGAATAATAGTATAAGGTCCTTGGCTTCAAAGAGTTTAAAGTTGAATATATGAAATAGACAAATTTAAAAAAAAATTTAACTTTGTAATTAGACAAATTTGCTTCTCTCTCTTAGACCACATACAGGGAATATGTCTTACTTGTCTCTGTATTTCCAGAAAATCTCTAGGGTAGTTCCTGACACTCAGTAACTGTGTGTTCAATGAGCTGTGAAAAAAAAAATTTTTTTAACCTGGAACTCAGGTGCACAAAATGAATTAATCACCTTGGGTTCAAAACACTCTCATCAGTGATACATACATGGTTCTTTTAAAAATTGGTTATTTAATTAGTTATTTTAAATGAATAAGCTCTCCAAATCCTACCACCCAGAACAAAAGTTGGCATCCTGACAGTAACGTCATCATTTTGTTGCTTTCCTTTTTATATTGTCATGATTCATCCATACAGACGGTGCCAAAAAAATGCATACACATTTTTCGAAAGGAAAAAAATGTATTAAAATTGTTATAGTCAATATATACCGATAACAAAAGATGAATACAAGTCATGTGTATACATTTTTTTGACACTCCCAGTATGCATTCCTAAAAAAGTTTTTGGTTTTTAGCTATTCAAAGGAGAAAAAAAGCTGATCCTGCTTTATGTAACCTTTGGGTCCTACTTTCTTAACTTGTTCTATTACTAAGTTTCATGTATGCTGTTGGGTATCAAGGGTGTTCATTCATTTTGACGCCCCTATATAATGTATTCATACAATATGAAAACTACAGCGTCTATGGTCCACTCTCCTACTGATGGGCACTGGGGCCGTCCCCAGGTTTTTGCTACTGAACACAGGGCTATGTTGACTTGTTTCACATGGTTCCTGGTATCCGTGTGCATGACTTCTCCTGGGTAGATACATAGGAGGGAGTGCCTGGTCATAAGGTATTCAGTTTTAGGAGCTATGGCCAAATCTCCTTCCCAAAGTATTGTACCAATTTATACTTCTACAGCAAAGAACAGAAGACCCCGTGGATCCACGTCCTCTTCCACACCTGGCATTGGCAGGTGTTTGAATCCTGCCAACCAATTATGTTTGAAACGGGGGCCTCGTTTTTCTGGGAACTTATGATGCTGAGAACCCGTGCCCCTTCACTGGCCATGCTTCCCTCTTCTGTGAGACGCCGTTCATACTGTTTGTCCTTTTTTCTACTAGGCTGTGTGTTCTTTTCTCACTTATTTGTGGGAGTTCCTTATTTTATTTTATTTTATTTTATTTTTAGCTGAGCCATCCTGCCACCTGTTGGCAGCTCAGCGGCAGCTCAGCTCGGGCTGGGAATTGAACCACTGTTGCTCAGAGCTCAAACTCTTGAGCGAGCTCTTAACCAACTGAGCCACTCGGCTGGCCCTCCTTATATATTCTTAATACTAAGCATTTGCCAGTTGTGTACACTGTGAATATTCTCATTCTGTAACTTGTTCTTCACTTTCTTTAAGCTTCATTGCTGTACTTTCTGAAGTTCTTAATTTTAATAGTCAAAACTATTTTTTTCTTTCATGGTCAATGCGTTTTATAGCTTGTTTATGAAATGTGTCCTTTCTTCAAGATATGAAAGTGCTAACCTATCACTCCTTCCATGAGTTCTAATTTTTTTTTTAATTTAAGTCCTTAATCCATCTTAAAACTGATTTTCGTCCACATGAACTCCAAAATGGTACAAACTCTAAAATGTTTTTAACCTTGATCTGTGATTCACAACTTGAGTTCCGGGAATGGACACCGGTTGGCAAAATCCCTATCAACATATTCTGGAGAGAAGGCTTATGGCTTATGTCAGGTTCTCAAAGGTTTTACGATTCAAAAAAATTTAGAATCACTGCTGAGACATAGGGGCTGCTTCAGTTTCTAAGGATCCTGACATGAATTTCAATGTAAACAACACATGAATGCAATCGTCACCTGCTTTCTTCTTTATGCTAATTAAATCTCCTTCATTCTCACTATTGCTTGTGAAAGTTTGACTTGGTTATTTTTTCTTTTAAATCAGTATTTGGGAGGAGGGAATAAAAGCAAAAGATGTTAGTTTTACTTCCTAATCCAATAGAGAAACAATGCTTTCCTTGTTTTTCTCATCCATTCAAGACTAAAATTTTCCCCTATCTCTTTCATGAATGGCACCTCATTGTTTGCTAATAGTTTCTGTGTTTTCTTTCAATAAAGACATACAATCTTTGATCCCAATCCAACAATCAAAACAAAAGCTAAAAAAGGAAAATGTCAACTCAAAATAGTTTCTTGTTTTCCTAGAGCTTATTCCAAATAAATTTCTATGAAATTGACGGATGAAATATAATCATGGGTAAATGGTCACACAAAATATGTCAAAATGGCAGCAAAGTGCCCACCCCAAGTGCTCTACAGGCAGAAACACTGAGTAGATCGCTTCTCAATGGGCTACACTCAACTAAGGTCGGATGCTGTCCTCACTACGCTGACACAAGGCAATTCCTTCCAGTTAATCAATTACCATCCCAAGGCTGAACGATGAAAATTTAAGCTAAATTACTCTTAAAAGAGCAGTAACTAATTCATCTGTGTCCAACCCATAGCCCAGGGAAATATCTGGCTTTGGAATGAATTACCTTTTCCTGACCTCATGCAACTGTCCCATACTGAACTTGGTTGAGGCCCTTGCTATGAATTCTTATTGCTCCCTGTAATTTAAATAAAACATTCACATAATAATCAGTTTCACATTTCTCCCTCTGCAAGACCCTACGCTCCATGAGGGCTGGGGCTGTATCTTTCCTGCCTGCCACTTTATTACATTTCTAGCACAACACTTGGCACATCAGTAAGAGCTCAATAAATACTTAAAAATGAACGCGGCAGAGTTTTTACTGTGAGAAATGACGTAAGAATTACAGGCAATTGGAACTCAAGCCAACCAAGGAATGCTTGAAAAAGAAAAAAAGCTACCGTAAAATAATTTTAAGAGTTTTAAAAACTGTATCTTTGAAAAAATAGATTGCTTTCAATTTCTATCTTATGATACACTCAAGTTAGTATCACAACTGGGTAGGAGACCTGGAAATATCAATCAAGAAATAGACAGTATGTATATTTTTTTCAGATATTAAAACGAATCATTACACAGAAATACTGACGTGGCAAGGCGAGGCTGTGAGAGGAATGATCTAACTTAGCCAATCCATGACCTTTAGTTTTGTTACAGATGGAAGAATTGGAGGCTTTCAAAAAGGTATTACTAACTAAATAGCTACTTACTTCCTCATAAAAATTGATCATTTGCTCAACCTGATCAATTAACATAATCAACAGAAAGAAAACTTTTTTTTATGGAAATAAAAGCCTGATTTAAAGAGTCTAAGAGAAATAAGTTTTAAAAACTACAGCTGGCAACCTTAAACATTTAGCATGTGGCCCAGTGTGCAAACAGATGACTTACAGCTCAGTGGGATCATCAACTCCTGAATAATTAAGTCATTCATTCTCATACTTTTTGGTCTCTGGGCCCTTTTAATGTTTATGTCAGTTACATCCACCAATATTTACTGAATCAGAAATAAAAACAGAAATTTAAAAAATTATTAATTTAAAAACAAGCTTTCATAAAAAAGCTATATTTAGGGAGAAGAGTTATTTTTGCAAATCTCCTCAATTTCTACTGGATTCTCATATCTGCTTCTGCATTTAATCTGCTGCAATATCCCACATTAAGCAGCTTCTGGAAAACTCCACTGAGCACTGTAAGAATGAGAATGAAAAGGACAAGTAAGTCTTAGTAACACTATAAAAGTAGTTTTGGTCTCACAGGCTCCCTGAGCGGGTCTCAGGGTCCCGGGTCCACACGTCTGAGCTGCTATCATCAGTCTGAGGAATTTTGCAATATACGTGTAGATACAAGACAAGTCGTTTAACCATCACAGACACTGGCCAACACTGGCACACCAAACAGCTTTTGACCCATCACTCAAGGGAGCTGAGTGGCAGGGGCACCAAGCCTTTGTTTCTTGGTTCAGGCTGTGGGAGCCACAGGCCGTACTCTTCTCCAAGCCGGCAACCGAGTGCTGACTGGATGCGTGCACAGCCTGCCCTCTGTTCAGGATGCACCCCTGACACAAGAAGGTAGTGTGGCTCATGCATGAATTTCCAGAAGAGAAATATTTCAGTACCTAGAATATTATCTTGTACAGAATAAATATCCAGTGCTTTCTGAAATGAATGCAAACCGTCAACTGTGTAACGAAGGTGAACCTCAAGATCAAGGCTTTCTATCAAGGATAATGCTTCCCATGCTGCTTTCATATTCTTTCCTAGAACCCACCCCTTTGCTGTAAGCGTGAACTCAGGAAATACAGGGTCATTTTAATACTGCCTTGAACTTGTAATTATTAAGTGAAACAAATCGCTTCGTTAAAAAAAAAACCAGACAGACAAGTATCCAGTCCAAACACAAACTTAAAAACATTCCAGAACAGCTGTATGACTCCTGGAGAAATGAAAAAGGTGTGTGTGTGTGTGTGTGAGAGAGAGAGAGAGAGAGAGAGAGAGAGAGAGAGAGTGAGAGTGAGAGTGAGTGAGTGAGAGAGAGAGACAGAGGTGGGGGGGGTTGACTGATTTCGGAGAGGTGAGAACAGTGCTTTGTATATGAATACACAAACTTTCCCGTGCTTTCCCCACTCCCCTGGAGCTGTTTGTGTAGGTGGCTCAAGATGGCGGTAGAGAAGGGAGACATGCTGCAGTAGCCACTTTGATGGCTCTCCCTCAACCAGCTGTAACTCTGGGAAAGCCACTCTTGGGGATCAGTGTACCCTCTGCAGAGTAAAAAGGTCAGACTAGATCAGTGATTTAGGGCACAACAGAATCATCTAAGAAACTTGTGAACCTTCCCACAGAGGCTCTGAGTCAGGAAGTGTGGCGCAGGGCCTACAAATATTCAGCGAGCAGCCCTGGCGATTCAAACACTTATAGGCTGTGTCCCCCACTTTGGAGTTCTTTACCAAGTTCCTGAGACCACAAGACCAGTGATGCTCAAAGTGGGGTCCACAGCCCTGAGGCTTTTTCAAGGGGTTTGCCAGGTGAAAACTATTTTCATAATAATACTGACACGTCATCTGCCCTTTCACCATGCTGACATTTGCACTGATTGTGCAAAAGCCACTGCTGGGTAAAATTCTTGGTGCCTTAGCATGAATCAAGGTGGAGGCACCAGGCGGCATCAGTCGTCACCATGTTCTTCAACTGCCAAAATACTTACGGGGGAAAAAAAAAAAGAAATCCAATTTCATTTAAGAATGTCTTTGATGAGGAAGTAAAAATTATTAATTTTATTAAATCAACCCTTGGGAATCCATCTGTTTAATATTAATGTGTCACAAAATGGGAAAAACATATAAAGCACTTCTGCATACTGAATGAAGTATGAGGTTGTCTTGAAGAAAAGCATTACATATTTCACTTGAAAGCTGAACTAGTTGCCTCTTTTCACGAAACACCGTTTTTCCTCAAACAATGACTGGCAGACAAACTATGGTTATTCAACATGAGTAACTGGCAGATGTTTTCTCAAAAATGAAGAAAGCCACCCTGCTGTTTGAAGAAAAACAATCGAGAGTATATATTGCAAATGATAAAACTTGAGTTTTAAAACAATATACACAACTTTGGAAAATCTGTATCCACCAGAGGCTCACAGTTCCTAATACTTAAAGACTTTTCTGGTGATATGTGTGCTGATATTAACAAATATAATCTTTTGATATTGTGTAGTAAAATGTGTCAATATTTGGAAGATCTGAATAACTCAGTGAATCAGTATTTTTCAAAAGACCAATGCATCATATTATAAATTCATGCTCTAAAGTCTTATCATAAAATCCATTCGAAGTGCAGGATAGAACAACGCATTTTAATATTAACAGAATACAAAAATTCATGGTTATCGTTTGAGATTCCACATTACAACTAAACTTAAAAAAACTACATTTATTGAGTTATAGTGTGGTATCAAAGACTAATATCCTCAATTACTTGAAAAAAGGTATTAAAATACTCCCCCCTTTTCCAATGATACATCTGAGGTCATATTTTCTTTATTTACTTCACCTAAAACAAATTACTGAAATAGTTTGAATGCTGATATGAGAATCCAGCTGTCTTTTCCTAAGCCAAACATGAAGAGATGTGCAAAAATGTAAAATAGTGTCATTCTTCTAATTAAAAAATAAAGAAGTTATTTTTCATGAAAACATGATAGGTTATTTTTTTAAATGAACAAATAGTTTCTCATATATATACATATATATATACATATATATGTGTGTGTATATATATATATATATATATATATATATATATATATATATATATATATATATATAGAGGTAGGTATAACCCATTTAAACAAAAACTCTCTGGGGTCCTCAGCAATTTTTAAGAATGCAAAGGGGGCTTGAGAACCACTGCCTTAGACCAAAATCTAGGAATGCATCCATCGTGATGTGAAGAAGTTTCAAAACACATAAATGCCATAGTTCCAGTCATCTGAGGGGCAGCCCAGTCACGGTATTTAAAGAAAAGTGTCCGCCAGATGATTCTTACACATGGCCAAGTTTACAGACCACTGAAACCACCATTTGAGTGTCACTGCTTTTGGAAAACTTATTTATTGGTGCCCCCTACTGGCTACTTTGCTTTTGTTTATGAAAATAAAATCAGAATAACGTGAAAACCAGGAACTTGGGAGACACAAAATTCTAATTCCGTACGGGACCCCAGAGGTCATCTAGTCTAACTCCCACTCTATAGATGGAGACGGCCAACAAGCACCCATCATTACAGCTGAGTGAGATGAACGCTATGCCAGGCTTTGATTAAGCACCAAGTGTGGAACAAAGCCTAAATCTACCCCAGACTTCTGTTCCATCTATTCCAGCTTATCTCCAGCGAGATGCGTTTCCCAGAGGCCATCGCCTCTGAGCTGAAACCTGCCGAATGGTCAGGAATTGAAGGACAAAGTATTCCAGTCCAAAGGGAGGGCAAGCACAAAAGCTCAAAGGTCAAAGAGACCATGGTTTGGTCAGTATTGAAGAGAATACTGTGACCAGTGTGCAGAGCTTGCCAAGCAGCAGATGCTGTGCTAAGCTCATTACGTTATCTTATTTCAAGTTCACGACAACCCGATGAGATGTTATCCCCTTCACCAACCCTTGAAGGTAATGGATGGTATTATTCATTTACAGTTTATTATTTTTTCTTTCCTTTGAAATTTTTTGAAAAGCAGCTAGCTTTCCAAGGACGGTTAATCCTTGGAAAAGCTTACTCAGAAGTACAAAAGCTGCTTTTCTTTATGTTTTAAAAAGGATGGATTCAGAATTGCTTTTGAAAACACCCGAAAGAAATGGAATGGCTTTATAAAGGTTCCTGGGGATAAACCAGGGAGAAATGAAGCTCTTTTAAATGAAAGAAAACTGTAGATGATGGTTTAATTATAAACATAGTAAAGTCAGGTAAAAACTTGCTAAGACTGCCTTCCCCTCTCCCCAGTTTCTACTTTTACGACATAACTTCACCCAGAAATACCCCGGTTACAGTAGAAGGAGTAGGAACTCTGAAATCAGATACGCATCTGAGCAGTGGCTTCCACACCGATTAACTTTGACCACTGATAAGTTAACTTTGAAATTCTGCATCTACACAGTGGGGACAGTATCTTCCTCCGGGCTTGTCATGAGGAATACATGAGAGCACATTATATTATATTACATTAGATCATTCGGTGGATGGAAGGCCCTTTCTTGTTTGTCATGTCTGATGTGTCTGTCAGTGCACAGGGGTTTGCCTTACTTTCTCTGATGCTGCTTCTGCAGGGCTGCCTCTGATAACTGGCCCTGAAGGATCAGTCTTCTCTGCTTATCAATATCTCCTTCCATTCGAGCAAAAGCATGAGAGCCAATGAAAGAAAGATCAACTCCCAAGCCTTCGTCCTCCTCTTCTGGGCTGTCTGTAACAAAAATCCTATCAATAGAGAGCTTCCAACAACACTGGACAGTAAATGCTGCAAACAGGCTGCGAATGTTGCAATTGGGATGACTGCAAGCAAAATCACAAAGCTGGGGTCAAGAGGTTAATTATTAGGAATGAAACTGAAATCAGACTTAGGTATTTGAAGAACAGAAATAATGAAGGAAACCACCTGCCCAACGTGTGATGGGAGTTTTAGGACTACATGAAATCAAATCAACGTGACCTGTGGATAACCTTAGGAAGGAAACAGTACAATGTAATCATAAGCAAAAAGAATTATACTGAATGTGAGTTTAAAGATGGATTGTAGCACAGCATTTAACAAAAAAGAAATATAAAGAGCAAATGTTTGGGGTCATTTATCCAGAACTGTTTCAGGAGGGAGCCCTTGATTGGTTGGCACAGAAACTTCAGTCCTTTTGTCAGGTAACCAGTGAAAGACGATGGATGGCCCAGGACTGCAGGGTCTGACCCACATCCACTAAGGAATGTTTTGATTCTAATGTAGCATCCTGGCTTGCTACACTGGTCATATCTACACAACCACTCTGGTCTGTAAGAATTATAGTTCTGACTACAAATTAATAAGTTAACTTTCTGATTTCTCCATATAATCATTTTACATTTGGCTAGGAGAAGCCAGTTCTTTGGGAACGAATCATCTCTTAGGGTGTTCCCCATTGCCTTAGCAGATCTGTTTAAAAAACTAAAAATAAACAGCCTCCCACCCCTGGACCAGGGGGAGCTTCCCAAGGCAATGGCACCACTTGAAGCCCCTCCTGGTGGGACTTCCTCACATCTATGTCACTGCGTCTCACACTGTGACAGGCCAGCAGCTTAGAAGGGTCTGCTTTTGTTAAAAAAATACCCATGAATGAATCTTCTTTCAGTCCCTCAAGTCGATTTTTACATCTACTTTAACAGATTTAACATTGGAATTGAAAGTATTTACAAACACTAGGGCTTTTATCTATGAGGTAACAATGTTTTCTGAGATAGATGCAAATCAAGCACCCTGAGAATGGTGGATAGAAAGGAACCTATAGCTAATGAGTTAATCTCATCTACTGCCCAGTATTGCCATCTCAAATGGGTTTTGCTATTCATTCATCCTTCTTATATAAAATGCATGTAATGCATTTAGGAAAAATTATATTCTATAGTGGTGGTCACAATTATGAGAATTTCCAAATAACTCCGGGCACAGTTCAAGGGTGCACTCCACTGGAGGCTGCCTGAAGTACACGGGTACCCCGCCAGCAAAGCTTGATTTGGAGACATTTTTTGATGCGACACCATTTACAATTCCCTCTGTTTGATCTAAGTCTGTGCACTGGTGTTTAAAAGGACCTGAGTGGCCTTCTACAGGTTTTAACTTGATGCTCATTTAAAACTGTTCACAGTAGGAATCACATCGTAATTCCTAAGCTGCTGGATTCTGAGATCAAGTCCCAGCTCTGGAGCTTGTGACACGTGACTCCACAGGAGGGTGGAAAACCCTGAATACGTACCCACGCAGATCAGCACATGCTGTCTTACAGCACAGATCAGAGGGTCCCCGTCCTACTGGACTCTACTCTACCAGTGCTTCAATCTACAGGAGGAGGGACCTAAAGAAACAAAACGAGTGGCTACAGTACTCTTGTCTTCCTATTTAATGTTAGGTATAGCTCTTAGAGGACATTCTTGAAGCTGGTGAAAATTTTAGATAAAAGTACTTGACTGCCGTCTCAACAGTGTCTCAAGTGAAACTATAAACTTTATCAAGGTCAGAATACTGTAACAGCCATCACTGAGGCTCTGTTGCCTAACCCAGACTTGACATTACATAATTTATTTTTTTTTTAATTTAAAGAGTAAATCTCATCAAGAGTAAGGCTCGAGAAACATCTAGGTTGGTCTTGATCTGAACATCACACTTACAGAGAGCGTCCCTAAGGTCAAGCTAAAGGTCCCACTTCTTTGGGGGTCAGTCCCTTTGCTTCCTTATGAGGGAGATGAAGGTGGCACTTACCCTCTGGGGCACCAGGTTTCTCACTTATTCGAATCTGCCGTTCAGGGACCACAGGCTCCCCCTCCGCATTTCCGATATCTGCTGGCAGGTATGGCAACGACAGAGTCTCCTCCTTCAAAGACCTTGGGAAGTACAGAGGTAGCAGCTTTTGGTAAGTAGCCTGTGTCAGAAAAGCAGGACGTTACAATCATGGAGTCACGACACGGTGTCCACAGCACTCAGTGCTCACCCCCACACTGTGAGACGGCTGCGTCCTGGAGGACCTTGCCACTTGGGAGCTCAGGCTAGATGCTGTCTGGGGACCCTCCGCCAGTTCTGTGTTAAAGATCAGGATGTCATTAGCTAGTTACACGTGACCCCCTGGCCTGGCAAGTCCGGTCAGTGAACCTGGAATGTTTAAGTCCTGCCACTCCTGTCCCTGTCCCCTTTCTTCACTTTACCAACGGTGTTTGTCTTTGAAGAGTCAGCTCAGCTGCTACTTCAGTCCTCAGTGTGCCATCAGGGGACACTGGCCCGGTTTAGTTTTTGAGATTTTTTATTTTTTTTATTTTTTGTTCTCTGCTATAGTTTATTTATTTATTTATTTATTTATTTATTTTTGAGGTTTTGTTTTTTTTTAACAATACTACATGTTTGTGACAGATTGCTATTACATGACTTTTATTCTTCTTTAGAGGTTTCTCAAAGAACAAAGATAAATTTTACCTTTTTAAAAACAAATTAGAATAAAACTCATTCTATTTTATAATTTCCATTTGGGTTAGTCCATTGGACTCATTTATACATCTATGATACATTATAGGTGTTTACTGGTCTTGTTTTTCCTACATCTTGAAGCATTTTGCTTTTTCATTATGCTAGGAATTATTTTATCACTAGCCATCACTTACTGCCAACTATACTGAAAAAGACTAAAATAGACAAAAAAAACAAAGAATGATGAAATTTCTTAGGACAATAACATCATTATCCGTCTGTTTTCTTACTGTGTCACCTGCAATATTGCATCATCTTTCATGTATAAAGTATGTAAGGTAGATAGATACATAAGAAGACAGAAGACACTATCTTTGTAGCCTTTTGAAAAAAACAGGTATAATTCACAGACCATAAAATTCACCCTTTTAAAGTATACAATTCCGTGGTTTTCAGTGTGTTCACAAAGTTGTGGACCATGATCTAATTCCAGAATATGTTCATCACCCCCACATTTGTTAGGTCACCCCCGTTTCTCCCTCCACCAGCCCCTGGCAACCATCACTCTGCTTTCTGTCTGTATGGATTTGCCTATTCGGGACATTTCGTAAGAACAGAAGACAGTGTGTGGCCTTTTGTGACTGGCTTCTCTCAATGAGCATAATGTTTTCAAGGGTCACTTACACTGTGGCGTGTCAGTGCTTCATTCCTTCTTATATTAATAGCTTAATATTCCATTCTATACACACACATCTGCTTATCAGCACATCAGCTGACTGTATTTAGGTTGTTTCCACTCTTGGGCTATTATGAATAATGCTGATATGAACACTTGGTGTAAAGTGCTTGTGTGGCCATGTTTTCGATTCTTTTCTACACGGACCGAAGAGTGGAGTCTCTGCTTATCTTTTTGAGGAGCTGCCAGGCTGTTTTCCAAAGCAGCTGCACAGTTTTACATTCTCACTAGCTCTGTATGCAGGTTCCAATTTCACCCCATCCTCACCATCACCTGTGATTTGTAATGGCAGCCATCCTAGTGGGCGTGAAGTGGTGCCTCACTGTGATTTTGATTTGCATTTCCCTATTGGTTGTGATGTTGTGGAGTACCTTTTCATGGGCTTATTGGCCACTTCTATCTTTTCTGAAGTAACGTCTAGTTAAAACTTCTGCCCAGACTTTATTATTTTAAAAGCAATTTAAGGTTCACAACAAAATTGAGAAGGTAAAGATATTTCCCATAGCCCCAGCCCCCACACGCGTAGTCTTTCTCATTATCGACAACCCCCATCAGAGCAGTACGTTTATTACAACTGATGAACCTCCAAGGACACATCGCATCACCCCCAGTTTACATTGGAGCTCACTGCTGGTGTGAGCCCTCTGTAGGCTGGCTCAAGGGTATAAGGACAGGTGCCCGCCATTATAGCACCATGCAGGGTACTCGCTGCCCTAAACCCCCACGCTGTCTATTCTCCCCCCCACGCCACACCCCAACCCAAGCTTTTTGCTGTCATCACAGTTTTGCCTTTTTCCAGAATGTCATATAGTTGGAATCATATAGTAAGTAGCCTTTTCGGGTTGGCTTTTTTCACTTAGTAATACGCATTTCAGTTTCTTCTACATCTTTTTATGGCTTAGTAGCTCACTTATTTTTAGCACTGAAAAATGTTCCACTGTCTGGATGGGCCACAGTTTATTTATCCATTCACCCACTGAAGGACATCTTGGTTGCTTCCAAGTTCTGGCAAATATGAACAAAGCTGCTATAAACATCCTTTGTAAGTTTTTGTGAGGACATAAATTTTGAACTCCTTTGGGTAAATACCAATTTTTGCCCATTTTTAAATGGGGTTGTCTTTTTATTACTGAATTATAAGAGTAACCAATTGCTCTATTTTTATTTTGGCTGCTTGTACTTTTGATGTCATATCTAAGAAACCATTGCCTAATCCATGGTCATAAAGATTTATATCTATGTTTTCTTCTAAAAGTTTTACAGTTTGAACTCCCATACTTAGGTCCTACATCCATTTTGAGCTAATTTTTGTAGAGGATGTGAGGTAGTGGTCCAACTTCTTTCTTTTGAATGTGAATATCCAATTGCTCCAACACCATTTGTTGGTAAGACTATTCGTTCTGCATTGAATTGTCTTGGCAGCCTTGTAAAAAATTCTAGTCCACTGATCTCTGTCTATTTTTACGCCAGGATCACACAGTCTTGCTTACTGCACTTTACGTTTCAAAAGAGATTAAGTGTGAACCTTCGAACTTTGTGCTTTTCTTCCCCAAGGTTGTTTTAACTATTCTGGGTCCCTTGCATATCCATGTGAAATTTGGAATCAACTGGTTAATTTCTACAAAAAAGTCAGTTGGGACTTGAATAAAGATTTTGTCAAATCTATAGAACAATTTGGGGAATGCTGCCATCTTAACAACAGTAAGTCTTCCAATTTATGAGCAGGGGTATTTATTTAGGTCTTAAAATTTCTTTCAAAGATATTGTGTAGTTTTCAATGTATAAGTCTGACACTTCTTTTGTTAAGTTTAGTCTTAAATATTTGATTCTTTTTGATGCTCTTGTAAATTAATGGAATTGTTTTCTTAATTTCATTTTCAGATTATTCACTGCTAGTGCATTGACACACAATTTATTTTTTATGTTCATCTTGTGTCCTGTAACCCTGTTGAACTCTATTATTTCTAACAGTATTTTGGGGAGCCTCTTAGGATTTTTATATACAAGATGACATCACCTGTGAATAGAGAGTTTTCTTTCTTTCTTTCAAATCTGGGTGCTTTTTATTTTTTCTTGTTGCTTAATGCCCTGCGTAGATCCTCCAGTACAATGTTGAATAGAGTCGGTGAGAGTGGACATTCTTATCTTGTTCCTGATCTTAGACAGACAGCTTTCAGTATTTCACCATTAAGTATAATGTCAGCCATGGGTTTTTGATATGTGCCCTTTATCAGGTCGAGGAAGCTCCCTTTGATTCCTAGTTTGTTGAGTGTTTTTATCATGAAAGGGTATTGGATTTTGTCCAGTGTTTTTTCTGCATCTACTGAGATGATCATGTGGGTTTATCCTTTATTCTATTATTATGCTAGCCATCATTCTATTAATATGGTACATTACACATTGATTGATTTTTGTATGTTGAACCAACCTTACACTCCTAAGATAAATCCCACTTGGTGATGGTATATAATCCTTTTACATGTCGCTGGGTTCAGTTTGCTAATTATTTTGCTAAAGATTTTTGCATCTCTATTCATAGAGGATATTGGTATATAACACTTAAATAATGCAACATAAGTAGCCAAATACCTCTTCAAGTTCAGAGACAGCAAAGACTACTTTTTCAATGGTCTCCCCATGAATCTCTAGGAATCTCCTTACAGTGCCTATGGAAAAGAATAGAAAGATTACTCAACAAAAAAGAAGCTACTGACACATGAAGGAAAACCCAACGCTTCCAAGTTTAATCTTTGTAATGGATCACTCCTCATTTCATTAAGGTCTCTGCTCAGTGACACCGGATCCGCGAAGCCTGCCCAGAGACTACCATGTTTAAAAAGACTTCCCTGCTTTCCTTTCCTCCAGAGCAACTACTGCAGACATTTTGTTTATTGCATATCCCCCCCGCCCCCCACCCCCAATCCACTAGTGAAAGCTCCACAAAGCAAGAGCTTTATTTGATTTACTGTTTCACCGCCAGCGTCTAGAACAGTGATGCTGACTCCAGACAATTCTTCCTTATCTAGTGTATTCCTTTTGTTCCCTGTGGCCTCTCTTTCTGTCCAGAATGATGTAGCACAAGTGTACTTTCCACTCATTCAGTTACAATACGAGACGTCCTAGTCAGCGCATCACACCTGTCAAAATCCCAGCAATCCAGAGCTAATTACTTTTTCCTTAATTTCTAGGTTATCCCGATTCTTCTCTATCACCTTCCTAATAATGAGACCTAATGGCCTTTTTCTTTCAGTCCTTAACTTACTAGCGGTCTCTCCAGCTTAGTTCTAAACGCCCACGGCCTACCTTTGAAAGATATTGTCTTACAAGGTTTTGTCCTCCAAATTTTTTATTTTCTTGATATATGTATATTCTCTTTAGCTCACTAATTTTCTGATTAGGTACTACTACCCCAAATGCTGATGGCTCTCAAATCTTTATATTCTGTTTTCTGAACAAATGACCTGAATTTCCTACTGGGCATATTTGTCCACATAACTCAGACCTCAAACTCGACATGTGCAAACTTGACTCCAACAGGTCCAAACCTGACCTCCATCTTTCCCCCCCAAAACTGCCCTGTCACCTGTATTCCTTATTTCAGTTACATAACAACCTCCAGCCACTCACCCAAGCTAGAATCCTGGATTTTCTGACCCTTCCTTCATCCTGCATTTTCAATGGCTGATCATGTCCTTGAAATTCAGTTGCTGATACTTCTAACATCCATTTCTCCTGTCTTCCAGCTGCTCTCAGGCTCTCAATGCTTATAAAGACTTTGGTAACAAACTCTCAACTGCTCGCCTGTTTCTTTCTTTTCTAAGTCTACGAATTCAGTGCTGCCTGTTATTTTACATTATCTTCCTTACTAAACACTTTCGATGGCTCTGCACTGCTTATAGGTTAAGATCCAAAACCCCTAGCATACTCGCCACACTCTGACCTCCACTAACCACCCCTCCACCCCTGCCCCTTAGTCCTATTTCCAGTTATTCCTCCCACGCAGCTTATGATTTAGCCAAGTCGGCGGCTTTGCTGTACTCAGAACGTGCCACTTACACCCTACCTCTGCTCCTGTGGTCACCTTTGACTAGGATGCCACTCATCCGCCATGACTTTCTCTTAGGGAACGCCTACTCAGTTTTCAAGACCCAATCAAAAGCCATCTCGTCTCTCTTTTGTGTTCCTCCTATAATCTTTCAAATAGCTCTCCACTTGTGAACTTCTCATGGCATTTTATAGCTAGACTGTGAGGTTTTTGAAGGCTATTTTACATTATAGTAAAACGCATTAATGTATTAATATTACCAGGGCCTAGCACACCGTAGGAATATGGTAAGCAATCATTCGAAAGTAGCTAGTAACTGAATGAAAACATTGTCCGGGTCTGGTGACCTACATATAGGCTGCATGTTCACTACTGTATCTTGGGAACCTCACAGTCAGACCCATTTGCTGAAGGACTGCACAAATATTCGTAATTCTCCCTGTTAGGTGACAAATTTATTTTTCATTTCGCCCTGTATTCCTATATTTAATTTTTTTTAAAAGAACTTTCAAAAGGGATTTTCTTCTATCCTATCTAGTCTGACATCACGTTTTAATATTCACACATAATAGTTTCCCAGCATATAATTGTGGGACTTCCTTTGGAAGACAAAATCCAAGCCAAATAGTACTCGAGTTGAATTCCCTCAGCGGAGTTCATTCAGAAAAGTAACTGCAAAAAGGAGGGGGAAAAAGTGATGTCATGGTTAGAAGGTTTCAGTGCTAACTGCCACTCCAAACTTTTCCTTTCAAACTTTCACCTGTGCATTATTCTCTGCAGCCAACCAGGATGTCACGCGTCTAACTGTTAGTGAAAACCCTTCAGCTGGTGAAAATGACATGTGGCACATTAGCTTCCTAACCCGGAAACACAACAAGAATAAACACTGTCATCTTTTTCTCACCACTATATCCTCTTCTATACAGCTCAGGGCTGAGCACATAGTAGGCACTCAAAGTTTTGCTGAATGAATAAATAACCTAATACATTTATTTCAATGCAGATGTTTCTTTAGGCTTCTTCTGGAGAGGAACTGAACTGCAAGTTAAATAGTCTTGATAACTCTATCAAGAAGATATTATGTAGGTTTCAAATGAAATAAATTCCAATGCTAGTTTAATAAGAAAGGTTTTGGTCCTAACGACTTAGAGCTCCATCACTAGGTTTGTTCTTGGCCCCCATCTGCTACAAAAGTATACAAGCCATTTATGTTCCAAATGCTCAGAAAGTGTGCAAGCAAAGGGCACAATTGGCTGCATGTGTTTTAATGAGATGCTATACTTTTGCTACTAGATTTAAGGTGTGATAAGTCAAATAGGCCTTAGAAAATATAAGTTAAGTGCCCATCTTAAAGCATTACATTTTCTTTGTGCAGTTAACATTCCTAGAAATTCCTTCAGAGTCCCTTACAGCCACTGTTGATCTTTATCTGCTGTTCACTACAATTCATGCTCGAAGTTGATGCCTCTGTGGTGCTTTATGAAGTCATTTATCTGGGGCCACAGAGCTAGAGTGAGACTAATTGGGACCAAAAATCAATCTTCTTGACTCCCTTTTCCAGTTTTTTTTTTTACAAAATCATGCTACCTCTTTATCTAATCTGTATGATTACTTCGGTGAAAAGTGGAAACATAAACAAAGGTTAGCTCGAGCTGTGAGATGGCAGGACGAGGGCTAAGGAGAATCAGAGAATGGTGGGGCCTGACAGGAAGCATTCATAAAGGCAGGAGCCTGCTCTGGTGAGGCGCTGTTCGGCGTGCACGCAGGTTAGCTATCACACAGCAGTTTCCCATGGAAGCAGTTCTGACTCAAGCACAACGGACACATTACTAAACCTGGGAGTCAGAGGGCCTGGAGATGTGTTCCAAGTCTGCAGAACCCTGAGAAGATGATCAAGTCCTGAGCCTCTTTCATTTGTAAAACAAATACCACACTACCTAAAGCACAGGGTTGTTGAGGTAATAAAAGAAACTTCCTTTATCCCTTTTTAAAATACATATTTCTGGAACAAGGACCGTATAAAAGCATTCTTGACATATGGAAGCATTATAAAGACAAAGATGAAAAGATAAGATCTCTGCTCTTCAAGAAGTTCAGTCTAATATAATGTCTATAAACTCTAAAATATATAAATTTACTATAAAATCCTTGAGCAATAAAGACCTTAGTTTTAAAAATAGCTCATTATTAAATAAACTATTTAAGCCTGCACAAGCCCTCACCCACAATTCTAGGCTATGTAGTGATCATTTTATACATTAAAATATCTGTAATTTTTTTTAGTGGATATAAGTAGCTCATCTTTAAATGCTAGAGATAGAAAGGGGTCTTAAAAACCGTCTAAGACAGTTTCCTTCCCAAATGAGGAATATCTGTGACTGATGGTCATTTAGCTTCCGGAGGAACATTCCCAGTCATGAGATGTTCACTAAGATACCTTTCTAATACAGACCATCCTACCTCACAGGGGACCAATCTCTTGCCTTGTCACTTGGAGGTCTTATCTACAATCCTCACAAGGATCTGTGAACTTCCTGAAACAGCAGGTAAATCCACATGTATGCACATTTCTCTGAAGAAAGGGTCCACGGCTTTTTTTCATCAGACACTCAGTGTAATTTATGATGACTTCCAAAGAGGTTAAGAATTGTTGCTCTCTAAACGCAGTATAGATTATGTTCCTAACAACTCCTTCAGGTATCTGAAAACTGGCACCATTTACGCTAAAAATATGCTCTTCTTTTGGAGAAATACCACGACTGTTTCCAGCTGTTTGCCCACAAGTTTGCCAGTGTCTTATGAACGTGAACCCAACACCACATACCAAAGTCCAGATGTGGTCTGAACCTCCATGTAACACAGTGAGATCATGGACTCTGTTGAGCTGAACGTCACAATTTCATATCACATATGTGACACTCTGGCTCATAATGATGGAGCCGGGTCTTTTCAAAATCCAAATGTAGGGTTTTATATTCAAATAGCACATGTGAAAGTTGATATTATAAAATGTGTTTTGACTTCACTGTTACAGCCTGTTAAGATTATTCTGAATTATGATTCAAACACCCAACACACTGGCCATACTTCTTAGCTTGTTACCATTTTCAAACTTAATAGGCAAGTCTTCTAAGTCTTCATATAATGGACAAAAATACCAACACAAGAAAAGAAATCGAGAGCTCTGCAACTTGGCAATACAGGCTTCCTTCCATGGTGCCACAACCAATTAACAAATCTTTGGCTATAACGATTTAATTAGTGAGAAAAACATTTTTAAGACTCAATTTATGTACAGCATCCCTCATCCCATAGGAAGCGCTGTGGCAATTTACGCAGAGTGTCCAATCTTACTTACGAAGTGCTATGTGCGTCGCGTCTTCTAAAGGATAACCTCGTTTTGCAGAATTAATGACACAGAATCCAACAGAAGACATGGACTGCTCTCTGAAATCAAAAAGAGAACACAAAAATGATACTACAAACCTTCCTAATACACACATAATACAAAAGTAACTTAATGGCGCAGCTTAACTTCCCCTTCCGTGTCCGTTGAACAAATCTACTATAATAATTACCTTAATTGTGCTATTTAATAATTATATTAATAATATAATTGCACCATTTGGAAGAAAAGAAATATAAAAAAGTAAAATAGGAACAGGTTACATCCCAAAGTTCCCCAAAGCCATTTCTTTCACCCTGCTAATTCAGGGTCCTCTAGACTTATCTAAACCCTTCGAACTTTGACCTCCATAGCTGGGTTTCGTTTTCGGGGCTTTTAACAATTCAGGGCATGCTGTGCCCCAGGAACGAGCCTGCCATACATACTTCGCCAGCTGCAGGACGTTTCGGTAGCAGCTGTACAGGGAACTCTCTGCGGCTGTGCGATAGCGGCTCTTGTACTTAGGTCCCACCGTGTGGATGATGAAGCGGGCAGCCAGGTGAAATCCTTTCGTCAATTTTGCTTCACCTGTCCGGCAACCTGGGAACCATGGAGCATACGTAAGTCATGGAGATGTTAGGGAAAACACACACGCGCGCGCACACACACACACACAACAAAACAATGCATTAAACAGAGAGAGTATTAAGAACTTTGAGAAATTTCAGTTAAAAATATGCACTGAACACAAACACGTATCTCTGTTCCCAAAATGACACTCAAGCAATACAATAGGTATAAAAACAGAGACAAAGAGAAGGGGAGAGAACGTGAAGCAGATAAGCATCATCAAAATGTTGGAAGGTAGAAGTCGCCGAGCTAGAAGTAACTGACTTAGCGATGTAGAAAAACCTAAGTGCTTGCAGAAATGGGGTGACCAGTGTGAAGCAAGGTGACCAGAGGGCTCCGATCCAAACCCTGAGACCACCACGTTCCTGCTGTGACACTCTGGGCAGGTGCTTGGCCTCCCCACGCCTCAGATTCCTGTTCACTGGGGACACTAGTAGTACTAACTTCTCAGAATTAAATGAGTTAATATATGCAAAGCGCAGACACGCATTAGCTATCGTTGTTATTACTGCTGAACACTAAAAAGGCTCAGAGGGGGCCGGCCAAGTGGCGCGTTGATTAAGAGTTGGCTTGAGAGTGTGAACTCTGAGCAGCAGGGCCCAGGTCGGATCCCACATGGGCCAGTGACACCGCGCCCTCTACAGCTAAGATGGTGAACAGCAGCTCGACCTGGAGCTGGGCTGTCGTGAGTGGCCGGTGACGGCGCAGGCTGCAGCCCCTTCTGCAGTGCACTGCCGTAAGCTACCATGAGTCGCAGTCTAATTGCCGGCGACCGATCTGCCTCACCTGGGAAGAGCACAATGATAATACCAACACGGGCCAGTGAAGTGACATCCTCCACAACTAGACTGAAGAACAAAAGGACAGCAACTTGTCTGTTCTCCGTCCCTGATTCCCCAACGCTGTTCCCCTCCCGCAATTCCCCAATAAAAGTAAACAAACAAACAAACAAACAAAAAACCCACTTAGGGAGAAGAGTGGAATTATTAAAAAATAAAAATAAAAATAAAAATAAATAAATACATAAAAACACTCAGAAACAGGAGGTTCTAAGTACTTGTTAAGGCTACGAGGGGAAGTGGGGCTGAAAACAAGAGGCAGTTAAAAGTTTGCATTAGAAAGTCAAACTGCAACAATCCCTCCCCCGCCAGCACAGCAAGGTGATGGTTTCTTTATCACCACAGCAGCAGGAAGGTTTGCTATCCAGAGATGCTGAACTAGGGAGTTTCTGGACTCCAGGAGCCCAGGCACAGCTGAAAAGAGATGACTTAATTCAAGGGTAATACTCAAGGGTGACAGCTCTAGGTCTCTGCTCCTACTTGATTTCCAAAACACAGACACCCACACTGACACCCTGGCAGAGTCCTTTCTAGAAAACTAAGAGACCCCAAACCAAAGGACCCCCAGATTCTGACACTGGGGAAGGTTCCCCAGCAAACCAACAGGGTTCTTGTTTATCATCTACTTTCAGACCTCTGAGCAGTAACCCTTGCCCGCGCGCACGCAGCTTCTCATCAGTGTCTCTGTCCCTCCCTCTTACATACAGCTGACACTCAAGGATCACCAGGAAGTGAGGAAAGCTTCTAACAAGAGGAGGGCAAAACAAATGCTCAAAAAATAGACCATGCAGAGAAGGAAACTTTAAAATAATCCCAAAAGCTCCCAACACCATTACTACTACTCTCACAGAAACAAAACCAGAATGTTATAAAAAAGGAATACTCAGAGAACAGGAAAAAGCACTTATGTAACTGTTATAGCCAAGTGAAAAATATGCAACAGCAGAAATAAAAAGTTCAATAGACAGGTTAAAGCTAATGCTAAGAAAATCTGCCAGGAAATAAAAAGATGGAAAATAAGAGATAACAGATATGAAAACTGGAGGGTTACATAAGGACACACAACCTCCAACAGGATTTCTTCAGAGCGAGAACAAAGAATACAGAGGGAGGGAAATTACTAAAGAAATACAGTAAGAAATCTTCCAGAGCTCAAAGATAAGAGTTTCTAGGGCCCACAGAATAATACCCAAACCACACACAAGGCACATCACTGTGAAATAAGAGAACATCAGAAATAAAGATGAGATCATAAAGTTTCTGGAGAACAAACAAGTAAGATACAAAAGATCAGGAGTAAGAATAGTATCCGATTTTTCAAGAGCAATAATAAAAATACAAAAGACTAGAGTAATGCCCTCAAAAATCTGGAAAACGATTTCTAACCAAGAATTCTATTTTCAACCAAACTACCAATTGAGTGTGAAGGTAGAGGCAACATCGCAGTAATTTTGCGCCCTTGCACCCTGCTCAGAAATCTTTGGGTAGATTTATTCACAAAAATGAAGAAGTGCATCAAAGAAGAGAAAGGTAGGAGATCTAGGAAATTTGGGGAGGAGGAGTATCCAATCTGTTAAACAGAGAAAATGTTTTCCCAGGATAGAGCTGAGCAGCAGGCATACAGAGCATTCTACAGAGCAAGGAGAGGACGGGAAGGTTCCAGGAGGGACCTTGTCAAGGAAAAAATGGAGCTGAAAGATAAGCAGAAGTGTCTGACTCCACTGAGAGAAAGACATGCCCGGCACTTAATGTACTGTGCATTAGTCTTCATGATGCTAATTTTGTCCATCCCCAAAGACTCACTGGACTCCTGTTAGTGTCAGGAACGGAGGCTGAGACTATTATCACCACCCCCACTCTAGAGATAAGCAATCTCAGACTCAGAGGTGAAGTAATTGGTCTTAAGTTACGTAGTAAATAAAGGGAGGAGTTATAATAGGAACTCCAGTTTGGAGACTCTCAAACACATGCTGTAAAATATTGAGGTGTTATTTGTACACTTACCGTGTTTCCCCAAAAGACCTAACCGGAAAATAAGCCCTAGCATGATTTTGCAGGATGCTCATAATATAAGCCCTACCCCAAACATAAGCCCGTTAAGATCGTNAGAAACACAGGGCTATTCATCCCCCACTCATCAAATGGCTGCTATTGGGGAAAAGAAAAAGTGCCAGGTGCTGCAAGAGATAGCAAGATAAAGAACACGCACAATTTAAAGAGTTCGGTCTAATAATATGGAGGATGTGTGGAGTAAGGCCAAATGAGAAGCAGGGAGGTTACTGCAATCAAGTAGTAAGAGATAATAAAGGCTTGAACTAAGTAGAGAAGGACATGGAGAAGCCATAGATCTGACAGACAATATACAAGGAAAGAATTAACAGGACTTGACAATTTGTAGGATATGGTGTATGAGACGCTCCTATGGTAGACTGGCTGTACAGAAATGTAGACATTAGAAGAGCATGGTGATAGGAAGACACACAGTGTCAAGTGCTACAGAGAGGTCATGGGAAATTTAAGTTAACAGGAGAAGAGGATACTTAATTTGCCAATAAGTCAGACAGCTATTTTAGTAAAATAGTAGATTCATTTGTTTGCTAAATCTTTGTAAACACCTTTTGTGTGTCAGGCAGTGTTCTAGGCTCTGGGGTTACACTGGTGGATACGACAGAGCAAGTCCCTGCCCTCACAGAGCTTCTGCTTCCAGGAGAAGAGGAATAAACAAGCAAGTGGGTATCTAAGAGAATGACTAGAGGCAATGAGTACTATGAGAGAAAGTGATCATCTGAGTAGCGAGCTAAGTGAAGGAGCAGGTCATGTGAAGCTCTGGAGGGTGTTCTGGGCAAAGGAAATAGCAAGTGCAAAGGCCAAAAGGGCAGGAAGGAACTTGGTCCCTTCCACGGGGAGTCAGCTCGGTCTGCTCCAGGAGGATGAGCTGGGTAACCAGTGGTAGGAAGGCGAGGAGGTGGTGAGAGCGCGAAAGGCATGATGCACCTTGCATGCCATTATTAGGAGTTTAGACCCTACTGTAAACATGAGGGGAAGCTATGAAAGGATCTTGATAGAAATAATAACGTGATATATAACAAATAACGTGTGAACAGAGTACTTACTCTCAAGCTACAATGAATTCTTGCAGGGGCACGAGGAAAAGCAGAGAGACCAGTGGAAAATGCTTGTAGTAACCTAGGTGAGAGGGTGATGAAGGTGGGGAGAAATGGTTGGATTTGGGATATATCTGAAAGGTAGATAGATATATAGGTAGAGTCAGTAAGACTTGCTAAATGAATACGAAGGCTGAGGGAAAAGAACAGAATCAAAGATAGCTCCTAGGTCCCGGTCTTATTTTTGGGGAAACACAGTATATTAAATTTTATTACTTTATTTTTTCAGTATTAAGTCCAGCACACACACGCTCCACTAAGAATTTTTCCAGACCAGCTTCGCTGTTACTCTTATCAAAAACCTTCTCAGTATTATCTCTAATACATTTGCTAATTTCTACATGTCTTCATGGTATCATGTCTTTAGTTTAATTGAAGACATTTTTCTTCCTTCTGCCCTCATAGTTCAAGTTCAGCTTCTTGATCAGATAATGCAATTCTTCTCTCTCTATCCCTTCCTTCACGGAGCCAGCATTGGAAGTATTCCTATTCAAATTCTAATATCTTTATTAGGTTAGAAACCAGTTATTAGTGTTAAATGACAAAGGTTAAAGAAATCAAGATTTTACCCGGGAGGGACCTGCTGTTTGCATTTTGAGAACCATTGCTGTATTTCACAAATACTTTTTATAAAATGGTACGATGGAATTTCACAATATTCCATTTGGGTTCCAATGACAGTAACAAAAGGTTGCCAAGTTGATAGTTTACAAAAATGAATGTAAATTAAGGTAAACATAATTCTGAATAAATAGGACTCCTCCTATTCCCATTTCTAAAGAAATATTCCAAGAATGCTCTGGTAAAAAAACAGCAGCAAGTACAAAATTAATCAAGAATATGTTTGCTCTTGTGATACACTTTGTGTTTATCAATAAGTCAATTTCATTTCAAAAGTGCAATACTCTAGGCCCAGGAAGTATGTAAGAAATTCTCTATTGGTATCCAATCCAATAAAACATTTTCAGTTTAGACAAAGACTAGTTGTTTTACAAGGCTTATCAGTGCAAGAAAACATACAGCTGGGAAACTGCTACCAAAGATCTAACTGGCTACCAAGGTTGTCATTTTCAAATTGGAGAACTTGACACAGGAATTTTACTGACAGTTAAGTCTCCATGTTCAGCTTCTAACACACCGGAGGGTTTCCAAAAGATACATCGACATAATTTTCTCACATAAATGCAACACATGCTTCTACAAATATTGAAACAAATGTTTCCTAAGCAATAACTACCTGAGAAAGATCCCTCACCTTTCAGTTTCTGGAGGTCCTCTTTCAGATCTGGCCCTGCAAGCATGAAGATGCTTTCTGACACAGGGTTCTTATCTGTGAGGCTTTCATTGCTGGTGTTCACAATGGCTGTACAGTTCAGTAATGCCACATCTCCTTTCCTGAGGAAACAAAAATAAAGAGCAAGTGTGGGAAAGAGGGAGCAAAGAAAGCTAGTTTCTAACTCTCAAAACAGTCTATCCTCACTCCCTCCTGGCAATGGTTTTGCTAGCTCACAAGCTTAAGCAATAGTAGAAAAGGAGTTCCTGACTCACAAAGACTCATGTGGCATCTTAGATCTTCAACGCAATCGCTACAACCCTGAAGTTCTCACAACCATGTTATTCCTTTGCTTCTTTCCTAGTTCTTTCATTTTAACAGAATGCTTATGGAGCTGGGAGTGGTGGGTTTAAAGAGTTTAGACATCGCAGCATTACTCATAATGGCCAAAAAGTAGAAACAACCCAAATGTCCATCAATGAATGGAAGGAAATGTGGTCTGTCCATACAATGAAACATTATTTGGCCATAAAAATGAATGAAGTATGCATGCATACTACACACATAAACCCTAAAAGAAACATTA